TCCCCGTCCACAGCAGAGCTGGGGAGGTCTCCGGCCGGGAGACCCTGGGGTGAAGGTTGATCTGATGCGCCGCGTACCGAACCGCAAACGGCCACAGAAAATGGGGGGCAGCCGCATGCATCATGGACGTACGAGCGACGTCCATGACCATGCCAATGCGGCGCTCAGCAATCCCATTTTGCTGTGGAGAGTCCGGAAGCGTAAAGGTCTGGCGGATGCCTCGTGCACGACAGTAGGCTCGCAGAAGGCCAGAGGAGAACTCTCCACCTCGGTCAGAGTGCAGACGCAGAACAGGAAAGTCCGAGCCGAAGCTCCTCCTGAGCTGGAGACGAGCTGCGCGGATCCAGTCGATCAACACCTCAGTGACCTCACCCTTGCTGCGCAAGGGGAAGACTGTGGTGTAACGCGAGTAGTCGTCAACCACCAGCAGGAAGTAGCGCTCGTGACCCTGCCCACGGACGCGGGCGGGGCCCCACACGTCCATGTGAAGCGTCTGCAGAGGAGCCTCTGTGGGGGGAAACTGGGAGGAGTGGGGGGCAGCCCGGAGCCGCCCCTCGACACAGGGGACACAAGAAGGTCCGGGTCCCGAAGGAAGGGGAGGGAGAGACCGGGGAAGACCAGAGACAAGGACACGGGAAGCCATGCCCCGAAGACGAAGCAAGGAGGGGTGGCCAAGACGGTGGTGCCACAGGAGAGTCTCGTGAGACAGGCGGCGACACGAGCAGGGGGCAGACTCAGGACCAGACCTGGACGCAGCAGCAAACATCTGACCCGACGCAGCTACCTGACCAGACGCAGGGACAGGAGGAGACGCAGTGGTCAGTGTGTAGAGACTCGACCCTGGCCGACGCGAGAACGTGGCCAGGTGTCGGCCTGTGCGGGCATCCGAGCAGTGGGTCACCCGCTGACTCGCAGGAGTAAACTGGTGAACCCCCGCATCCTGCAGGTCAGCACCACTCACCAAGTTCGTCGAGAACGAGGGGAGGTACAGACCAGACAAGGTGCCCGAGGGGGCAGCCGGACACGGGAGGACAGTGGAGAAGTGAGAGAGGACAGGACCCCCAGAGGGGTCAGCCAGGGAGACTGCAACCGGCCGGCAAAGCGGCGTGAGTGTGGTGCGGTCTCGAAAGAAGGAGCGAGAAGCCCCTGAGTCAAGTGTGAAGGTGAGGGAGGCCGAAGCCGACGCAGTACCTGAGAGCGCAGCCTCACCAGTACCTGAGAGTGCAGACGCACTGGCACCTAGAGCAGCAGCCGCAGAAGTACCTGGCGCAGCAGTACCAATGCCCGGGTCGGGCGGGAAACACTGGTAACAGTCACCCTCCTCACTAATAGTCACAGCATACATGGCAGCAAGGATAGCATCAAAGTCAAGATCAAAGACAGCTACGCCAGCCCTAGACAGCTCTCCCCAACGGGGAATCTCACTGGCCTCGGGGAACTGCTGACGCCAAGCGTCCGTCAGGCGGCCAAAGCAGCGCTGAGTGGGGTGCGCACCCCCACACTGCTCACCCGCTCGGTCACCGGAACGAAGGACGTAGGTGCACGGACCAAAACCCCCACCCCGCTGACGCTGCGTGTACCACTCACGGAGCTGCTGGGGCGGGGGGATGTCCCGCGAACGCTGCTGCTGCTGCTGCTGCTGCTGCTGCTGCTGCTGCTGACGCTGGCCACCACCAGGGCCGCTACGCTGCGGGGCACCACCCCGACCAGCTCCACCCCCTCCGCCACCGCTGCCTCCACCTCCACCACCACCGCTGCCTCCGCTCCCACCGCTGCCGCCACCACCGCCTCCTCCTCCGCTGCTGCCACCGCCACCACCGCCCCCGCCACCACTCCCACCGCCACCCCCACTCCCTCCTCCGCCTCCACCGCCTCCTCCACCGCCCCCGCCAGCTCCACCCGCGCCCTTGCCCCCCTTGCCCCTGCCAGGGCGGCGTCTCCCGCTAGGGGCAGACGCCGCGCAGACCGACTCAAGACCAAGCAGGTCGGCAGAAGCAGCAGAGGCAACAGAGGGCAGCAGGGGGGAAGGAGAACACCCCTCAAAGATGGGGGTGCGAGGGTCACCACGAGAGGCTCCTACAGCGACGATGCTCTTCTCCGCCGCCAGGAGGGACTTCTCGAGGAGGTCGACAGTGAGAGTGGTGGGACAGACCGAGAGGTAGTGGTCCCTGACTACGCGAAGGGAGTCAGGGAGGCGTGTGACTATGTAATAGAGAGTGATGTACATGGGGGGGGGGTTCTTGGCGCAGAACTCAGCAGGAAGGGCGGCGCGGTAGCGAGTGTCACTAGTGCGGAGGTGCGTAATGAGGTCAGCGACAGTGGGAAAGGCAGTAAGGTCAGGAAAGAGGTACGGTAGCATGAGGCGACTCAGGGCAGCAGTGGCAGGGGAAGAGTAGCGCGCAACTACAGCGTCGTACAAGGTCTGAGCACTCTTGTACTGACTAAAGTGCGCGCGCTCAGTGGTAGGCAGGTGGCGACGCACAGCAAGACGTGCAGCAGCATCGCGGGTGGCCCACTGAGAGCGAACAGTGGGGTCAGCATCAGTAGCAGGGGCAGGAGAGGCGCCAGAGGTGAGGTCAAAGAGGGAAAGACCGTCCGCCCTATCGCACTGTAAGAACAGCTGCAGGTCGTCGACCCAGACCTCAAAGTCAATGGCTCGACCCTCAGCGTCAAAAGCGAGGACACTAGGGGTAGCCATGACGACGACAGACGAGCAGTGCAAGCAGTAGGGGAAGGGCACGCAGTCACAGTGGGGCTGTGCTCATCGGACAGGGCAGGTCGGGCGGCTCGGCAGTAGGGCGGCTCGGCTGCTCAGCGGCTCGGCGGCAGGGCGGCGCGGCTGCTGGGCGGCTCGGCTGTTGGGCGGCTCGGCGGCAGTGCGGCTCGGCTCCCGGGCGGCTCGGCGGCAGGGCGGCTCGGCTCCCGGGCGGCTCGGCGGCAGTGCAGCTCGGCTCCCGGGCGGCTCGGCGGCAGGGCGGCTCGGCTCCCGGCGGTGCCGCTGCTAGGCGGCTCCCGCAGGTAGGGCGGCGGTAGGGCCGCAGGTAGGGCGGCGGGCGGGCCGTAGGTAGGGCGGCGGGCGGGCCGCAGGCAGGGCGGCGGTAGGGCCGCAAGTAGGGCGGCGGGCGGGCCGCAGGTAGGGCGGCGGTAGGGCCGCAAGTAGGGCGGCGGGCGGGCCGCAGGTAGGGCGGCTGGCGGGCCGCAGGTAGGGCGGCGGGCGGGCCGCAGGTAGGGTGGCGGGCGGGCCGCGACGTGAGGGCGGCGGGGCCGCTGTAGTGGTGCGGCGGGGCCGCTTAGCAGAGGGCGGCGGGGCCGCGTGAGCAGGGCGGCGGGGCCGCGAAGCAGAGGGCGGGCGGGCCGCGACGTGAGGGCGGCGGGGCCGCTGTAGTAGGGCGGCGGGGCCGCTTAGCAGAGGGCGGCGGAGCCGCGTGAGCAGGGCGGCGGGGCCGCGAAGCAGAGGGCGGCTGGGCCGCGTGAGCAGGGCGGCGGGGCCGCGAAGGAAGGGCGGCGGGGCCGCGTTAGTAGGGCGGCGGGGCCGCGTAGGGAGGGCGGCGGGGCCGCGAGGGGCGACACGGAGGGTCGCTAAAAAAAGGAAAACGCGCCTCGGGGCGCGCTTCGGTGGGCCCTAGAAGCAGTCCCTAGGAGGGGACCTGCTCTGATTCCATGTGAAAATGAAGAACAAGGATGGTTGAACTATGAATGAAGTGAGTACATATAGGAAACCCTAATTGGGTTGTACCCCCTATGGGATACCCCACTATAGCCTACACAACAGCATAAGCTATATAATGTTCTGACAAAACAATCTTAAGCGCCTCTGTCGTGTCGAAACACCAAGGCACAAGCGAAGCAGAGCATATCGAGGCACCAGCGAGTCAACCCTCGGAGGTTGAAGTAACCGCTGGAGGTTACGCGAAAGTCAAAGGTCAGCGACCTTTGACTTGACAAATGCAGCGCGACAGCAAGGACACACAACTGACTCGACATTGAGCAGTTGCCCGAGTCGCACTGTATCGAACCGCAACAGTAAAACAGTTTAATTATATCTCTTCGTATTCTTTGTACTCTTATATAAACCTTTGTACTTGCTTGTTTTAATCAACTTACTTTGCCCTCACATACCAGCGCAAGGTGGTTCAAGGACTTCATTTAAACGCTTCCGCTACTACATCACTCTACCCAGAGTTTAACCCTACCAAAGATCCTAAGGGGCACTCAGCCCAACAGGTGAGAGTGGCGAACCCAAAGTCGAGGCAGCTGTTGGGTACGCGGTTTGTTTGATTTCGCCCCACCAATCTGAACAGTTCGTGGTTTTTGCTGAGTCAGCAACTTCAGGGGGGATCGTGTGTTTTGGGACTGAGAGTCCTAAATTGCAGACATGAGAAACTTGACGTTTTTGCAACGAGTGTCGCTTCGACCAATCAAAATGTGTCGCAACTACCATAACCAAATGTTCGCCAAGATACAGCACAACAAAAAAAAAGAGAAGTGTCCAATATTAGTAATCCTGCCCTGCGCGGCCCGCAATTTGGGCCGCGAGCTTTAAGATGTAAAGAAATATTGCACTTCGTGTTTTGTTTACAAAATTCGTCATATCACTACGCGTGTATACGCATGTATCTCGAGAATATTGTGCATTCATTCATCGCATGTTCCCAATCCAACTAATTCACTGACAGAATCCCTGAGTGCTGCGGTGACGTGGCAATTCTGGTGCTGAGCGGGCACGGCCCCATCTGTATGCCTCGCGGCAAAGTTGGGAGGACTTCTGGAGTACCAATGGAATCGGTGTCTAGTCCACGTGTACCCTCGCTGATTCGTTTACGCTGGATTGCGATTTTCCCATACGAAGTGCGGAGCTATGTGTGTGATGCTCCTCAGACACGCTGCTTGTCGCACGACCTGCTGAGCAAGGTAGTCATTTTTGGTGGCATTCTCTGATCAGTTTGTTGACAGCAACCCTGCTTCCTCTTTCCTTATCGTCAGACGATTGCACTGCTACAATGGCGGCCATTGCGTCGTCCTCCGCCGTGCGCGTTGCTGCCTTCTCCCTGAAGGCCAACAGCCAGAAGAAGCTCAATGGCAGCAGCTTCGTCGCTGGCGCGCCCCTCCGGGTGTCGTCCTCCGCCATCTCCTCCCGCTTGACAATGGCGGCGGAGGCTCCCGAGGGCTTCTCTCCTCCCGAGCTGAAGTCTGACACTCCCTCCCCGATCTTCGGTGGAAGCACTGGCGGCCTTCTCCGTAAGGCTCAGGTCGAGGAGTTCTATGTCATCACCTGGGAGTCTAAGAAGGAGCAGATCTTCGAGATGCCCACCGGTGGTGCCGCCATCATGAGGTCCGGCCCTAACTTGCTGAAGCTCGCAAGGAAGGAGCAGTGCCTCGCTCTCGGTACACAGCTCCGCACCAAGTTCAAGATCAACTACCAATTCTACCGAGTGTTCCCCAGCGGTGAGGTCCAGTACCTTCACCCCAAGGATGGTGTGTACCCCGAGAAGGTGAATGCTGGCCGTGCCAACGCGAACGTGAACCTCCGCTCTATTGGCAAGAACGTGGATCCCGCAGCTGTGAAGTTCAGTGGCAAGCGCGCCATTGATCTGTAGATTGTTTGTGATGGCCTCCCTGTACATGCGTGTCAGCTAACTGTGTTGGACGCACGTATGGGTTATGTAATGAAATCATACTTGTTTTCCCCTTGATTCAATAGAACCGCTTGCTCGTATCCTCCAAATACTCGTTGAAAGCTGTGGTAATCCAGCCCGACTGAGACTCAGTCCTTCTGGCCATGTAAACTATCTTCTTTACATTTGCTGCCCTGCGGACATCAACAGAGCACGGTCCTTGACCAGATTCACTGTGACAAGATTAATCATACTTCAGAGAACTATCCCCAAGGAAGTAGCAACATGACGGTGGTATGGTATGCTTACATGGCCATTTTTTAGAAGTTTCAACATTTACAGTATTGATAGTGTTCACATCCATTATTCGTTTTTTTTTTTTCTAGTCAGGTTGATGTTGACTTGTATCGAGTTCCGAGACAAGGTGGGTGGTCCCATTCCAGCCTCTATTGCTGCACACGTGTTTTTCCGTCCCCATAGACCTGGGTGTGCTGGCAGTGAGTCAACAAGGCGACCACTGACCTTTGATCAGAAGGATACCCATTTTGGCGGGGGTTGCCCCAAGCCTTTCTTCCAGAACGTAAATTCTGGAGTTTCTAGTCAACTGACTACATTCCCTTCCCTGCGATCCGCTGACAACGATTATGTGATCAATTCCACGACGTCCCAATCTGGTCGACAAACCCACGCAATGTTCACCTCGGGATTCCCGCAGATGACCCAACTTCCAGGTTTTAGAACCACGCGAAACTGCCCACCTGCCCGCCTGCCCGACTGCACACCTGCCCGCCTGCCCAGCCTACCCCCTCCCACTGACCCATGCTTTGCTGTTCACGTGCCGCTGGTTCAAGCTGTTGGGGAAGGAGTTGCGGCGCCGATTCCCCGGCTGAGTGAGGACAAGACACCCCCTTCCCTACCCTCTCCCACCCCTCCTCCCCACCACCGCGGAAGGTCCGCGGACCGCCAGCCCCGCGCTTCACAAACTGGAGCTGCGCGATGCGCAACCCGGCCCCAATCCAGTTTGAGCGCAAATGACAGGAGCGGAACGGATGGATGATGGATGAGTTGCGTCAGCACTACTACTCCACCTGACTTGGATGTCTGTTCGGGCAGGTGGGAGGGTCAGCAGGTATGGATGTTTTTGGGCAGGTTTTATTTGATTCGGTTCGGTTTAGCCTGGTTGGGAAGAAGAGCTCTCCACTCTTCATTCATCTGTGCCTGCAGCTCTGAAGGCCAGTTCAAAATACGGAGAAGTGCTATATGTATTTTTGACATGGACGCTTGAGTGGCATTTTGTTTTTGAACACAATTCTACCAGTTGTCCTTGTTGACGTGACCACCTATTTTTAGTCCGACACCTCCACACGCTACTATGTTGTACTTTAGTCTACCTCGGACTGACTGCTTGTCAGGCTATACTGGTTTTAGAGGCCTCGACTCGTAAATTCATAAGCGGGGAGTCCCCGTCAGCAAACGACGCTTTTCATTGTCGATTTCTCTTGTTCGTAGTGGCCTCCTGATTTGGCGACAATGTTCAAAGTGTAGCATATCTGACGCTTAGATCCCTCGCGCTTGCACGGAGCCTATTTAGCATCAGACATACACAATCGCGACGTCTTCGCCGCGTTTCAAGCGACGTTCCCTCCCGCCTCCATCCTCGTTAGAAAATCGTTACAAAATGCCTTCAACCAACCGGAGGAGTCGGCGAGCGGAAAGGAGGCGGAGGCCTGGCTCCGCGCTCCGGTGCCTGCGCGCGCGCATCTGCGCGTACTGCCTGCACGGGCTCACACCGCACCTGCGCAAGGCTGTCGAGTATCTGCTGCTTCTGATCGCCGTCGCGCTGCTGCTGCTTCTGTTTTTCATGCACTCCACGTTCGTTCATCAGGTAGGATCCTAGTTGACTTTTGAGTCAACTCAAAAGTCACCTCGCTGGGGTCTTCTTTTGGGGCAATTCTGACGCAGGCTCCAGCACCTCCTGCTGTTGCTGTTGCTGTTGCTGTTGCTGCTGCTGAAGTTTCTTCCCGGACTGTCAAAGTCCCATGGGTCACTGGTCATGAAGAAGAGCAGCGGTACTAGAGGTCGCTTTAGCAAAAGACGATAGTCACTCAACGAAAGAAATTAACCCTTGAAACTCTGAGTAAACACCGAACGTACAAACTCGATTCAACACTGTGACTTGCCCCTACTAGATACTCGCGTTAGTTGGTTGGATTCTGAAGTATTATCCCAGGTCAACCGTCCCCGTAGTCTGTACCGCATCCCTTCCCTCCATCCCCCCACTTCATCTCCTCCCCATCCCCTCTCCCTCCCCATTCCGTCCCTTCCCCGACCCTGCCCTACCCCACGCCCTCCCTGCGCCGACCTTTCCTTCCCCCGATTCCTCCGCGCAGCCGTCGTGCGCGGCTGAATTCGAGCCAGACGAAGGCCCGCAGCCGCAGCTGCTGCTAATTAAGGTGCGTTTCCCGCTCCGCGGCTCAAGTAGCGCCTTAACTCCGCTTCGCGGATTGTAGCGTGCTGCTCTGCTCTGCTGACTGGCGGTCAGCGTTTCATCTCTGCCGCTCGTGGCTCCAACCCCTCCCTCCTCCCCCCCTTCCCGACATCCCCCTCCCGCTCTTCACGTTTACGCACTCGAGTGAATCCTTGTTGAGGGGGGGGCGGTTAAGCTGCGTTAGCTGGTTGGATTAGGTCAAGCTAATCCAACGAATGAGTGCCTTCTCCCGCCCCTTTCCTCACATCCGCGCCCCTGCGCTTCTCCATCCGCGCCCCTCCGCGCATTCCCTCATCCGCGCAGATTTCCGGAACTGGCTTGGGCTTGCTCCGCCAAGCGCCGTTCCTGCAGCTATCCACCCCCGCGGCGCAACGCGAGGGGATAGGCGTAACAGGTGGCGCGCGGAAGGGCGCGGGGGAAGGGGGCAGTGGCGGAAGGGATTTATGGGTTGCGGGGGGGGAACAAGCGGGGGGCGGCGGAGAGGAAGCGGTTGCGGGGGGATGTGTGGCAGGATTCGGTGAGGGGACAGAGACGGGGGAAAATGAGGGGCAGTGCGGGGTTGGGGGAGGGGAGGAGAGGTTGGAGGGGTGCGGGGAAGCGGGGAAAGCGGCAGGCATGGGGGTAATGGTAAGAGAGAGCAATTCGTGCAGCAGTAGCAGCAGCAGCTGCGTGGCGGGATATGCGGAGGGAATTCTTAACCCCCAGGAGCAGCAGGAGCAGCAGGAGCTAGAATTGCGCGGTCCCTCTGTTCCCGAGCAGCAGGGTTCCGCCGCTACACGCGCGGATAGCGATATTTACTTCCCCCAGGGGGGATCTACTTCCCCCTCTGGTGGCGCTGACTTGCCCCTCGAAGGGAGTGCGGAGAGCTCTGCAGGAGGGTTGGGGGGGCTGGGGGAGTTGGCGGGGTTGGGGGGAACGGAACCTGGGGGAGGGGGGGGTGGCGAGCCGGCAGCAGGGGCAGGGGGGGGCGCAGCAGCGGCGGGAGGGGGAGCGGGGGGATGGCAGGGGCGCGGGTGGGCGCGCGTGGGGCATGCTCTGAACGAGGGGCTGCTGCGCGCGACGCAGAGGCGGTTGCGCGTGGACGTGCAGTTGCTGTGGCGCTTCCTGCAGATCCTGTGCCTGCAACTGGTGTGTGTGTGGGGTACAAGCCGAGTGGGTGGTGAGGTGTGGTGTGGTGTGGTGTGCGATGGGATGGGCTAATTGGTTTGAATGAGGGGTAGCTAAGCGTGGACGGCAGCTGTGGCGCTTCCTGCAGATCCTGTGCCTGCAACTGGTACGGGCTGGGATGAGTTGGGATGGTATGGTATGGGCTGGAATGGGCTGGCATTGGAAGGTATGGTATGATACCGACGAGGCCTTGTGTGCCTGCAACTGTAATGGGGCGGTACAGGGAGTGCACTGGTTGCAAAGGGAGTGCTGCTTGATTGGAACTGTGTCCACCCCCATCGCCGGCAGTTGTGGGGACACAACAGCTCTTTGTCTACAAAGGGCATTCTGAAAGAGCCTCGCTTTTACAAACATCCCCCCCCTCCCTTCCCTCCCCCAACTTCCCCCCGAACCCCCCCTCCTCCGTCACTTTATCTTCACCCCCATTCCCTCCTTTCCCCCCGACTGGGTGCAGAGAGAGGGCTTAAGGGGAGCTGCGTCCACCCCCATTGCCACTGTGACCTCGGGGCGAAACCGATCAGAGCGGCTGGCCCACCGTGAGATGAGATGCCATGTGATGGGATGGGATGTTCTGTGATGTAGTGTGTGCTGCTGTGTGGCGCTGCTGTGTTGTGCTGTGTTTGTGCATTGCCACTGTCACCTCGGGGCGCAACCGATCAGAGTGGCTGGCCCACCGTGAGATGAGATGCCATGCGATGGGATGGGATGTGCTGTGCTGTGCGGTGCTGTGTGCTGTGTGCTGTGCTGTTGCGCTATGCTGTGCTGTGTGCTGTGCTGTTGCGCTATGCTCTGCTGTGTGCTGTGTGCTGTGTGCTGTGCTGTTGCGCTATGCTGTGCTGTGTGCTGTGCTGTTGCGCTATGCTCTGCTGTGTGCTGTGTGCTGTGTGCTGTGTGCTGTGCTGTTGCGCTATGCTGTGCTGTGCTTTGTGCTGTGTGCTGTGCTGTTGCGCTATGCTGTGCTGTGTGCTGTGTGCTGTGCTGTTGCGCTATGCTGTGCTGTGCTGTGTGCTGTGCTGTGTGCTGTGCTGTTGCGCTATGCTGTGCTGTGCTGTGTGCTGTGCTGTGCTGTGCTGTGCTGTGCTGTGTGCTGTGCTGTGCTGTGCTGTGTGCTGTGCTGTGCTGTGTGCTGTGCTGTGCTGTGCTGTGTGCTGTGCTGTGCTGTGCTGTGTGCTGTGCTGTGCTGTGTGCTGTGCTGTGCTGTGCTGTGCTGTGCTGTGCTGTGTGCTGTGCTGTGCTGTGTGCTGTGCTGTGCTGTGCTGTGTGCTGTGCTGTGCTGTGCTGTGTGCTGTGCTGTGCTGTGTGCTGTGCTGTGCTGTGCTGTGTGCTGTGCTGTGCTGTGCTGTGTGCTGTGCTGTGCTGTGTGCTGTGCTGTGCTGTGCTGTGTGCTGTGCTGTGCTGTGCTGTGTGCTGTGCTGTGCTGTGCTGTGCTGTGCTGTGCTGTGCTGTGCTGTGTGCTGTGCTGTGCTGTGCTGTGTGCTGTGTGCTGTGCTGTGCTGTGCTGTGCTGTGCTGTGCTGTGCTGTGTGCTGTGCTGTGCTGTGCTGTGTGCTGTGCTGTGCTGTGTGCTGTGCTGTGCTGTGCTGTGTGCTGTGCTGTGCTGTGTGCTGTGCTGTGCTGTGCTGTGTGCTGTGCTGTGCTGTGTGCTGTGCTGTGTGCTGTGCTGTGCTGTGCTGTGTGCTGTGCTGTGCTGTGCTGTGCTGTGCTGTGTGCTGTGCTGTGCTGTGCTGTGCTGTGCTGTGCTGTGCTGTGCTGTGCTGTGCTGCGCTATGCTGCGCTATGCTATGCTATGCTATGCTATGCTATGCTGTGCTGTGCTGTGCTGTGCTGCGCTATGCTGCGCTATGCTATGCTATGCTGTGCTGTGCTGTGCTGTGCTGCGCTATGCTGCGCTATGCTATGCTATGCTATGCTATGCTATGCTGTGCTGTGCTGTGCTGTGCTGCGCTATGCTGCGCTATGCTATGCTATGCTATGCTGTGCTGTGTGCTGTGCTGTGCTGTGCTGTGTGCTGTGTGCTGTGCTGTGCTGTGTGCTGTGTGCTGTGTGCTGTGCTGTGCTGTGTGCTGTGCTGTGCTGTGCTGTGCTGTGCTGTGCTGTGTGCTGTGCTGTGCTGTGCTGTGCTGTGCTGTGCTGTGCTGTGCTGCGCTATGCTGCGCTATGCTATGCTATGCTATGCTATGCTATGCTATGCTGTGCTGTGCTGTGCTGTGCTGTGCTGTGCTGTGTGCTGTGCTGTGCTGTGTGCTGTGCTGTGCTGTGCTGTGTGCTGTGCTGTGCTGTGCTGTGTGCTGTGCTGTGCTGTGCTGTGCTGTGTGCTGTGCTGTGCTGTGCTGTGTGCTGTGTGCTGTGCTGTGCTGTGCTGTGCTGTGCTGTGTGCTGTGCTGTGCTGTGCTGTGTGCTGTGCTGTGCTGTGTGCTGTGCTGTGCTGTGCTGTGTGCTGTGCTGTGCTGTGTGCTGTGCTGTGCTGTGCTGTGTGCTGTGCTGTGCTGTGTGCTGTGCTGTGTGCTGTGCTGTGCTGTGCTGTGTGCTGTGCTGTGCTGTGCTGTGCTGTGCTGTGTGCTGTGCTGTGCTGTGCTGTGCTGTGCTGTGCTGTGCTGTGCTGCGCTATGCTGCGCTATGCTATGCTATGCTATGCTATGCTATGCTGTGCTGTGCTGTGCTGTGCTGCGCTATGCTGCGCTATGCTATGCTATGCTGTGCTGTGCTGTGCTGTGCTGCGCTATGCTGCGCTATGCTATGCTATGCTATGCTATGCTATGCTGTGCTGTGCTGTGCTGTGCTGCGCTATGCTGCGCTATGCTATGCTATGCTATGCTGTGCTGTGTGCTGTGCTGTGCTGTGCTGTGTGCTGTGTGCTGTGCTGTGCTGTGTGCTGTGTGCTGTGTGCTGTGCTGTGCTGTGTGCTGTGCTGTGCTGTGCTGTGCTGTGCTGTGCTGTGTGCTGTGCTGTGCTGTGCTGTGCTGTGCTGTGCTGTGCTGCGCTATGCTGCGCTATGCTATGCTATGCTATGCTATGCTGTGCTGTGCTGTGCTGTGCTGTGCTGTGTGCTGTGCTGTGCTGTGCTGTGCTGTGCTGTGCTGTGCTGTGCTGTGTGCTGTGCTGTGCTGTGCTGTGCTGTGCTGCGCTATGCTGCGCTATGCTATGCTATGCTATGCTATGCTGTGCTGTGCTGTGCTGTGCTGTGCTGTGCTGTGTGCTGTGCTGTGCTGTGCTGTGCTGTGCTGTGCTGTGCTGTGCTGTGTGCTGTGCTGTGCTGTGCTGTGCTGTGCTGTGCTGCGCTATGCTGCGCTATGCTATGCTATGCTATGCTATGCTGTGCTGTGCTGTGCTGTGCTGCGCTATGCTGCGCTATGCTATGCTATGCTATGCTGTGCTGTGTGCTGTGCTGTGCTGTGCTGTGTGCTGTGTGCTGTGCTGTGCTGTGTGCTGTGTGCTGTGTGCTGTGCTGTGCTGTGTGCTGTGCTGTGCTGTGCTGTGCTGTGCTGTGCTGTGTGCTGTGCTGTGCTGTGCTGTGCTGTGCTGCGCTATGCTGCGCTATGCTATGCTATGCTATGCTATGCTATGCTGTGCTGTGCTGTGCTGTGCTGTGCTGTGCTGTGCTGTGTGCTGTGCTGTGCTGTGCTGTGTGCTGTGCTGTGCTGTGCTGTGTGCTGTGCTGTGCTGTGCTGTGTGCTGTGCTGTGCTGTGCTGTGTGCTGTGCTGTGCTGTGCTGTGTGCTGTGTGCTGTGCTGTGCTGTGCTGTGCTGTGCTGTGCTGTGCTGTGCTGTGCTGTGCTGTGTGCTGTGCTGTGCTGTGCTGTGTGCTGTGCTGTGCTGTGTGCTGTGCTGTGCTGTGCTGTGTGCTGTGCTGTGCTGTGTGCTGTGCTGTGCTGTGCTGTGCTGTGCTGTGCTGTGCTGTGCTGTGCTGTGCTGTGCTGTGCTGTGCTGTGCTGTGCTGTGCTGTGCTGTGCTGTGCTGTGCTGTGCTGTGCTGTGCTGTGCTGTGCTGTGCTGTGCTGCGCTATGCTGCGCTATGCTATGCTATGCTATGCTATGCTATGCTGTGCTGTGCTGTGCTGTGCTGCGCTATGCTGCGCTATGCTATGCTATGCTGTGCTGTGCTGTGCTGTGCTGCGCTATGCTGCGCTATGCTATGCTATGCTATGCTATGCTATGCTGTGCTGTGCTGTGCTGTGCTGCGCTATGCTGCGCTATGCTATGCTATGCTATGCTGTGCTGTGTGCTGTGCTGTGCTGTGCTGTGTGCTGTGTGCTGTGCTGTGCTGTGTGCTGTGTGCTGTGTGCTGTGCTGTGCTGTGTGCTGTGCTGTGCTGTGCTGTGCTGTGCTGTGCTGTGCTGTGCTGTGTGCTGTGCTGTGCTGTGCTGTGCTGTGCTGTGCTGTGCTGCGCTATGCTGCGCTATGCTATGCTATGCTATGCTATGCTGTGCTGTGCTGTGCTGTGCTGTGCTGTGTGCTGTGCTGTGCTGTGCTGTGCTGTGCTGTGCTGTGCTGTGCTGTGCTGTGTGCTGTGCTGTGCTGTGCTGTGCTGTGCTGTGCTGTGCTGTGCTGTGCTGCGCTATGCTGCGCTATGCTATGCTATGCTATGCTGTGCTGTGCTGTGCTGTGCTGTGTGCTGTGCTGTGCTGTGCTGTGCTGTGCTGTGCTGTGCTGCGCTATGCTGCGCTATGCTATGCTATGCTATGCTATGCTGTGCTGTGCTGTGCTGTGCTGTGTGCTGTGCTGTGCTGTGCTGTGCTGTGCTGTGCTGTGCTGCGCTATGCTGCGCTATGCTATGCTATGCTATGCTATGCTATGCTATGCTGTGCTGTGCTGTGTGCTGTGCTGTGCTGTGCTGTGCTGTGCTGCGCTGCGCTATGCTGCGCTATGCTATGCTATGCTATGCTATGCTATGCTATGCTATGCTATGCTATGCTATGCTATGCTATGCTATGCTATGCTATGCTATGCTATGCTATGCTATGCTATGCTGTGCTGTGCTGTGCTGTGCTGTGTGCTGTGCTGTGCTGTGCTGTGTGCTGTGTGCTGTGCTGTGCTGTGTGCTGTGTGCTGTGTGCTGTGTGCTGTGCTGTGTGCTGTGCTGTGCTGTGCTGTGCTGTGCTGTGCTGTGTGCTGTGCTGTGCTGTGCTGTGCTGTGCTGTGCTGTGCTGCGCTATGCTATGCTATGCTATGCTATGCTATGCTGTGCTGTGCTGTGCTGTGCTGTGCTGTGCTGTGCTGTGCTGTGTGCTGTGCTGTGCTGTGCTGTGTGCTGTGCTGTGCTGTGCTGTGTGCTGTGCTGTGCTGTGCTGTGTGCTGTGCTGTGCTGTGCTGTGCTGTGTGCTGTGCTGTGCTGTGCTGTGCTGTGCTGTGCTGTGCTGTGCTGTGCTGTGCTGTGCTGTGCTGTGCTGTGTGCTGTGCTGTGCTGTGCTGTGTGCTGTGCTGTGCTGTGTGCTGTGCTGTGCTGTGCTGTGTGCTGTGCTGTGCTGTGTGCTGTGCTGTGCTGTGCTGTGTGCTGTGCTGTGCTGTGTGCTGTGCTGTGTGCTGTGCTGTGCTGTGCTGT